TAGATACGTATACATATACGGGGCATGACATCGACGTCGACGCCGGTGGTGATATCCAGCTGACAGTGTTCATAAAATTGCTATCGCAATAGAAACGTGGCATAGATTAACAGGAAGAAAGGCACTGACGAAACCTTATCCACCCCCAACCAGGGATCTAATCACGTATGCTGTAGACATAAAATCTCAGAATTTGTGAGCAATAGAAAGCCGGCTCACGAACTTGCCTTTCGATTTTATTATTTCGAACGCTTCCGCAATCTCACACGTGCGCTGGTGTAGGTGCCTCATCACTACAGCTAGAGTGTACTAGAACTTTTGAGTGGCGCGACCGAAACGCTTTCCCCTTGCTTTCTCCATCCCCAACTTGCGGCGAAAGTAGCGGCGGCGCTGCCATCGCCCAATCTACCCACTTGGTTTACTCGGCTGGCTCGGCGGCATGGCCGGCATCTCGGTTTTAGTCGCGAAATGACGAAGAAGCAGCGTCTAAACCATTGATACGCGCCAGGTTGCACAACTGGATATCTGCGTGTGCAACAAAGTCGGAAGTTATCGCTTTTTAAGGCCCCGAAAGACGAAAAATGACGACTTCTTTGGGAGCGGAACCTACATCGGCTTGACAAGCCGCTTGACGCCGATTGTGCTGTGTGCGAGTTGCATTTCAAACCGCATTTCATTGTGAGAGACTACGTACATGTTATCAATGGTGTTCAAGTCCGAATTCCTAGGGGAACGCCGACACTTGCCCCTGATGCAGTCCCGACGATCTTGCCCAACCTGCCTGCATATTTGACGCTCAAAACTCCGGCTCCGCGGACCCAAACAAAGCGGCGGCATCAGTGTGTGCCGGCTGAGAATGACAACAGAAAACGGTGACGCATTAGCACTCCTGCACAGCTCCTTGTGTATACCAACGGTGCAACTTCTTCAGATGGCGACGAAGCTGACGAGACAAGCTCAAGTCCCTCGTCTGACGCGGTTGTCACTCTCGCTGACCTTCGTGGTTGTCCTACCATCAAAGTCATGGGCGCTGCACGAGTTTCCTGGATTTGATGGCGTGTCGTACGTAGCGTGCTCACTGAATCCTAGCACTCGTGAACTTTGCATTCAACGAGCCGTATACTTCACCTGTTTGAACAAGTCGCGGGATGAGAAACGAAAAAGCGCACAGCAGCACCTAAAATTGAGTAGGCTATAAAATGCTACAGTGGCGTAAAAAGGATGTCATTTTTCGTGCATGTTTTCTTACACACTTAATTTTTGGACGGTACACCAAGAAGAAAAACAATTTTTCCTAGAAGAGGCTTGTAAGCGAGAGAACGTGCAAATAATGACGCGAAATCTCAAAATAAATCTTTGATCTTGAATCTTTTTGTATTAAACCTGTGATGGTAAATTTAGCAGCATTAGGGATCTCGGTGCATAATTAATCAATCTAAGCCAACTCATTGTTACACTTCAGTGTCCCTTCAAACGATGTTTCGACCATAACATCTTTTTTTTTATTTAAATGCATTTTGGAAAGACAACCTAAACTCTGTCGTTTTGTTTGCTTTGTTTTATGTTATCTTTTGTATCCTGGCTCTATATTTTACGTTTTTTACAATTTACCCAAGTCCAAATGTATTGTTTTTTAAATATGTAAACCTTGCATTTTTATATTATCAATTAAGATTATCATTAGTTACGACTTTGCTTTGCAGTATTGTTGCGTTTTTTAAACTCTCAAAATCTTGGACTACTATGTTTCACCTAAGACATTCTTCTGCAGTATTACGTATTTGCATTTCTGTGGGTCCTACAACAATGAATCTATTCCCATATTTCAAAACCAAAAAGAGGTCTGGAAAAACTCTGCTGTTCTTCAAATAATATCAATAAAGCCTACTTTTTTGTCGTGTGTGCACGCAGCCACAAGCAACGAGCCTTTTATTTGAGTCCAGCTTTGGTGTTTTACGTGGAATCGACCAAGAGTTCTTCGTTTTGTGTGCAGCATATTCCTTTTCTTTTTTTTTTTGGGGGGGGGGGGGGGCGCTTCTGGTGTGTACCGGCCAGCTGGTTTCTCGTATAAAATATGTACACTTTAAAATTAAAAAAAAAACGCGCTCGTTATATTGTACAATGTACTATGCTGCTTCGGGCTGCAGTGTGGTCAGCAGCAACTTCAGTAACAATAATGTCAAATAACGTTTATTTGCGCGGAAAAAGGGAGGTATGTGAATAAGAAAAAAAAAAGAGAGAGTTCATCTTCACACTTGGCGCGACAGAGAGGTACCAACACGTATGCGGAACGCCTGCCAGCCATCCGCCCGGGTAGATTGGTCGACGCCAGCGCCACCGCATCATTCCACGCCGAAACGGCCGCTCCCAGGCAGCCGCTCGCGCCACTCAAAAGCTTCTAGTACACTCTACTACAGCGGTTTTGTCTAGCCCTTTGTACGACCGCCCTGCCGGCAATGAAGGGGCAAATGCGTAGATGGCGTACCTATAAGAGAACTAGCGTGCTACATTTTCGCGTCCTATTTGCGCTGACCGTTATGCCGAGCAATCTCCTCATGCGATCCAGTTTGGATTATTCGCGGGCTTGTTGCGCCGAGCACCGAAAAAGAAACCTTCCACCTTGAATAAAAGATATGCGACAGTCGACAAGCACCCACCCGGTAGATAGCTTTATTAATTTAACTGTCGCTATGATTTGCACATACGTTCACACTATGCCGTGACAACTTTACAGAGTGCCCGGCAGTGTTCACTCGGTACTGCCAATTGTGTGGGGTCTACTGAAAGAGCTTTCACGCTTGCCGGAAACCTTCTCGCGCTACATCTACAGTGTATTTTTTTTCTGTAGCCCTCTGTCTCTCCCACTCACCACTCGCGCGATGCGACCCCATCACTTCCCGAGCTCAAAACCTCGATCGAGCATTCTCTATCTCAAAGCAACAATTGAGATACTTACTTTAGATGTTGCTATCTATCTATCTATCTATCTATCTATCTATCTATCTATCTATCTATCTATCTATCTATCTATCTATCTATCTATCTATCTATCTATCTATCTATCTATCTATCTATCTATCTATCTATCTATCTATCTATCTATCTATCTATCTATCTATCTATCTATCTATCTATCTATCTATCTATCTATCTATCTATCTATCTATCTATCTATCTATCTATCTATCTATCTATCTATCTATCTATCTATCTATCTATCTATCTATTCTATCTATCTATCTATCTATCTATTATCTATCTAATATTCGTCCTATACAACCACTCATTCATCCATTCGCCATAATTAGTTCATCTGTCAATCCATTTCCTGCATCCAGTTTGACCACCTTTTCACTCGGGGTTGCCAGACGCGGGAAAAGTCCTAGCAGGGCGGTATGGTTGGTCAGCTTGAATGACTTCATCGCTGGGTGGGTGTTTCCGAATGGAAAGTTGTCATCCGTTGGTTGCTGCCCGCGACAGTCCACAAAAAGCGCATTTCGCAGAAGGGTTGAGGTGTAGCCTAAGCAAGAAAAAAAAGAAGCACCCAAAAGAAAGACGGCACAGTGCGTTGTCCTAGCTAACGCATACACGCAAGACGCCGGAAGGAAGGACTTGCCTGTCCGCTTGCATCTATATAGGAGGGTACTCTAACGCCTAAATTGATGGGTGCCCCCCTTTCGCACCACTGTGCGTCAAAATTTTCTCGCCGCGCGTGTACTCTGTGGCATCACGCTCGCGTGGGAACATTTCTGGGGTTGCCGTTTTGGGCTCTGTGTCTGTTGGCCCTTTCAAAATTTTTGCTGCCGCTCCACTCAGTGGCTCATACGCCGGCAAGAGAAGTTTTCGGAGTGGCGGATGACGCACACACCCCGTCGCGGTCGCTGCGGTGACGCCTGATAACCGACCTCGAGCTGTCAACGTTCACTGCCCATCTCCTTGACTAAGGCTTTTTTTTCCTATTTTACGACATCGACCTTTCATAATTCACGTCCGTGCCATACCTCGACGCACCATACTATATTGGGCCGACGTGAGTTTCTGTATAAGCGGCGCACACCTCAAAAAAATAAAATAAATAAAAACTCCCTAAAAACAACAACGTCCTCGCTGCTGCACCTACAGTGTTTTGCAAAATTCGCTAGAGAAAACTTTAACACGATTGCTTAGATGACGAGAAAAGAACAGATAAAATGCAATGCGAGCATTTTTACAATCCTCGCTTTTGTAGCTTCCGATCATACTTCAGCGCAACTTACTATGCTTTGTTTTATAAGCTTTCAGAAATCTTATTTTCTGCCTGAACTTACGTAGGCAGTAAGTGTCCTTACATATGCATCGTTATTGCAACGTTGTAACGTTGTGCTTGATCCTAAACCACCACGCAGTTGAGTCGCGACGCAATAGGTCGGCAGAACGACAAAGAACGTGCAGTTTTCTTACCATTGTAAGGGGACAATTTTGTCAGCATTACTGATGGTTTAAGAAGGCGAAAACATCCGAAATCTAAGAACAATCAGAAAGAAGTGTCACAGCTGTCCCTCCAGTTAATCAAGCAATCGATCGATCAATCTATCAATCACGCTATCATTTAAGTATACGGGACTAAACCGTTTTCGCCTCCACAGTCAGTGCGACTGCCACCACTAGAATTTGATCCACCAAGCTTCGGTTCAGTATTGGAGCACCGTAACGACGAGACAACCGTGGCTGCTTGACGATACACGGTAGTAATGTTAGACAAGGCAGAATGGTCATGTTGCGTGTTAGTGCATTGCAAACCAGGTTAAGAGACAATGCACAACTGATATCTAATGTACACGGACCAGTTAAAAGCTAATTTCCTCATGACGTCACGTGACAGAGTGCTGGCGTCACGAGTTACCGCATCTGTTCGAGGATGACGGGTATGTTGTGCAAGTAGCCCGCCTCTTTAGGAGCACGACGGCCCGATTTATTTCAACCGTGTGATTGCAGATGTCATCTTGTTTGCAGGGTATGGAAACATCGCCCCAAAGACACCACCTGGCAAGGTGGTGACCATTCTGTACGCCATCATAGGCATCCCGTTGATGCTACTCTGCCTGTCCAACATCGGCAACATCCTGGCGCATAGCTTCAAGTTTTTCTACGCACACGTCTGCTGCCTGCTCTGTCGACGGGCAGACGCCGCTGCTGCAAAGGTACGCACTCACATTTATCTTTAGAGTTGATACCGTACACGCTACATTTAGTCACAAAAATGCAGTGACCTTCTTTGACGTATACAGAGTATCACTTCGCTTTTCTGACACAACACATGTTACAGTAAAGGTGAGATCGAGAAGGTGAGCGAAACACTTCATTTTAACACAAGTGCGTTTCATGCTTGGGTTCACCAAGACTCCACTGATGTATTTTCGTCCTGGATACCCATGTTAGCATAAGTCACGCGCACTAACGGATCACGAAGAAAAACTTCAGCCGCCGTAAATCGAACTCGCGACCTCTCGGTCCGCGACGATGGGCGTTCGGTGCTTGTACGACCACGCCAGGGGCGCGCATACGTACACGATGCAACGCAAACGCGCCCTATATCTCTCATATACTTCTATATACGCTATAGGGATGGCCTCTGCCCAGCGCGTGAATATGTTTATGGACGTCAGCAAATAGGCAGGCCCATGGCAAGGCGGCAGAGGTCCGACAATGTTAAGCTGTACGTGTAGAAGCGCACGTATGTAGGCGCGAACTTTGCCAACGGTGTCACAGTATGTGGATCAACTTTGGTCTGCTGGCACAGCATGCATGCTTTTGTCCAGCGGCGCATAACTCGGTTGATACCTGGCCAGATGAACTTTGCTGTAAGCAACTTCTGCGTGGTTTTGATTCCAGGATGCGATAACTTGTGAACAGAAAGAAAAATGCGGCGACGTAAATTGGCAGATACGAATAGTCGTGGGTTGCCTGTGGAGGTGTCGCAGCAAATGTGGTCCCCTCATCCTGGAATCGGCATCCACTGAAGATTGAGGGCTGTTTTTGTTGTTAGGAGGCTTTTTAGCTCTTCGTCGACTCTTTGGGCCGCCGCCAGCGCGTCGAAGTTAACTCCTCCTCGATCGTGGATGGCACTTATAGCGCTCCGCGACAGGGCTTCGGCAACGACGTTTTCGCTGCCTTTTACGTGGCGGATGTCGACCGGGAACTAGGAGGTGTATGCCAGTAGGCTAAGTTCTCAGGCCGTTTGTGTGCCACCGTCCGAACGCATAGAACGATGAACACAGGAGGCTTATGGTCGGCTAAAATGAACAACTCGTCTGCTTCCAAGAAATGCCGAAAGTTGCGTATACTTAGCAGTTCGCGCCCGGAGGTGCTGTAGCGACACTGAGTAGGTGTCAGCTTCCTCGAAAAGGATGCAGTTGGTTTCCAAGTATACCGTCACTCAGCTGATGCGACACGGCACCTATAGCTATGTCGGAGGCATCCACCATTAAGGGGGGATGAAGGGCAAATACGACGGAAAATGGGATTTTTTTCAATTTTTATGGCACAATATTCTAGCATTACTGACGATTGCTTCCACGAAGTGGCGAGTTTTTACGCGCAGTTGAAAGCGTTTGAATGTGCCACCAAACGCGCCTGATCCCGTGACTGTGTACCACAGCAACTCTAGCTTTAAGTGGCGTTTTCTCCGAACACTACTTAAAAAAAAAAAGAACACTTTCTCTGTAACCACTGAATTTATCAAACGCAAACTCTGGTGAATTCTTTTTGAATACCATGTGCCCTTTCTGAAGCAAAAGAATGCTTCACTTAAAAAAAAAAAAACAGCGCCAATAACGAGGGACAAGAGAAAGAAGGAGACAGACAGCGGCACTGTGCCGCTGTCTGTCTCCTTCTTTCTCTTGTCCCTCGTTATTGGCGCTGTTTTTTTAAGTGAATCATGTCGTACCAACTCGCCCAAGCAACCACGTTAGCTAAAAGAATGCTTGCCACCAGAGACGCAACTGATTGATTGATTGATTGATTTGTGGGGTTTAACGTCCCAAAACCACCATATGATTATGAGAGACGCCGTAGTGGAGGGCTCCAGAAATTTTGACCACCTGGGGTTCTTTAACGTGCACCCAAATCTGAGCACACGGGCCTCGACATTTCCGCCTCCATCGGAAATGCAGCCGCCGCAGCCGGGATATGAACCCGCGACCTGCGGGTCAGCAGCCGAGTACCTTAGCCACTAGACCACCGCGGCGGGGCAGAGACGCAACTGGAAATAACTTGTTATATCAAACACACTGAAGGCAGCTGTTTAACGTGTGTCTGGGCGTGTGTTTGAAGATATCTTTAGCGCCATTTCGTAACAGTTTGCTCAATAAAAAAAAATTACAACACAGTCACCTTCACTCTGGATGCGTGGATAACGTCGATTCTCCAGTATATGTGGGACCTACCAATTTTTTCGGGACTTAGGTTGGTTTGTTAGGGTCAACTGCCCGCCGCTGTGGTCTAATGGTAGTGGTGCTTCACTGCTGACGCGTAGGTCGTGGGTTCGAATCCGGGCCGTGACATTTTCGGTGAAGGCGACATCACTTGAAAGTTCGTGTAGGTGCATGCACGTTAAAGAACACCAGGTGGCTCAAACTTCGGGAGCCCTTCACTGCTGCGTCTCTCCTAACAATGTCATGGTTCTGGGGTGTTCTACTCTAACAATTATTATTACAGTTAACCACTCGGTAACAGCGTAGCGCACAGTGTTACTTTACGAGAAACATGTTCAAGAGAACCTTGATATAATGTCACAAATTTCGGTGGACGCGTCGTAACCGAAAAGCCCGGCACCGGAGAATGCTCAGAAATGTGGCCATAGAAGATGTACACGTGCCGTTTACCAATAATCGACGCTCTGTCGATCGTGTGCTTGTCGGCAATAAGCCGTTTCTGATATGGCAACCTGAGGTTTCATCAAAGTGACTTGTCATTTCTCGCTGGTGCAGCTTGTTGTTGCTCGAATGTGAGCGCGGGACCGTCGTTTTCGCCCGTATAGAAACTGAAGTGTCGCGCTGCACGTGAATCAACTGAAGAAATGGGACAGCCTGGAGGGCGGATTGCGCAATTTGAAATAAACGAATAGATAAACAAGACAAACAAACAAACAGGCAAACAAACAGACAAACAAATAATAGAGTATTACGTCGGGTACCCAAGCAAAAAGCTTCGCTTGTCCCCATTTTCCCAATGAGGGAAGGGCTCCTGAATTTCTTTAAGATACTCTTTGGAAGGAGGTATCACAGGTATAGAAACCCTTGTTGCGTGCTCTCTGGAGGTGTAACCTTGCTTGTACACATCGGGATGAAGGCCTAGTTCCCAGAAGCATCTTATTTAAAACTTTTGATACGCCTGACGGCGGCCAACAACTACTTCTCCGAGATCGGCTGTTGCTGTGGGCTCATAACAGTTCACCCTGTAGTTGATTGAATAAACGAATCAAAAGCTAATAGAACGTGTGTCGGGTCGGAATGCGTACGCCAGAACGCATACACGCAGGCGACAACACGAGTTTTCACTGTCCATACTTTAGCTTTTCTTTTAATGGAACCCTGTTGACACACATTTCGCAGATCCAGGCGTCATCGACGGCAAAGACGCCATCCCAAATACCTTCAGAGGTTCTCGATGCCGTGGTGACGGTGGCCAACAACGTCTCCTAAAGGAGACAACAATGGCAGTGTCACGGGCATGCTGACCGAAAAGAGCGGACGGCCACCCGAGCTGTCACCGCCGCCGAGTCCCGAGAAGCTGGCCGCGTCTCCCTCTTCTGCGAATGAGCTGCCGTCGAAAAGACCCACCAAGGAGTCAACGCCCGTGTCCCAGGTGAGCCAACTTTTGTGGGTGAAGTGGTTACTATTAAGATAAGAAATGTGGAAGTGTATTTTGTAGCCAAGTGCTGAGCTCCACAGGCATAAAAGAACAGAAGCTAAAAAAAAGTCGAGAAGAGAGTAGATGGGAGATTTGAAGCAGTGTGTGAAATATATGCGTAATTTCGTAAGCACGTCTGCGATTTTCATCGACCAATCGACGCATGGTGCATTGTTCAACGCTGACGCCAAGAGGAAAAATAGGTACCAATGAACACTTTCTCGTAAAGCCATGTAACGTCCCCGTTCAGACACTCACCGTTGTGTACAATAGCCCTCTTCGACGGCTATTGACGAGGTACAGTAGCCCCTCTTCGTCTATCAGATGCGGTTTTGTGTGCACCCCAATGAATGTTCTGCGATATCGAAGATACTCGCCTTTTTTTTTTTGAACGGCACTAGGGCCTCTGCCTACGTCGTATTAGTGGTGATGTCGTGATGACATGAAAGCTCCGCGCTTATGTTTTGCTGTGCCATGAAAGCTCCGCGCTTATGTTTTGCTGTGCCATGAAAGCTCCGCACTTATGTTTTGCTGTGCCATCTTTAGGTGGCACAGCAAAACATAAGCGCGGAGCTTTCATGTCATCACGACATCACCGCTAATACGACGTAGGCAGAGGTCCATCTTTGGTGCACCTTTGGTGCTGTGCCCTCTTTTATAGCACAGCAACGCAAACAGTTGATCTGAGAAGTTCACGAATGTTCAACTGCTTGCCAATTCACGCCTTCCATGTCATCAACAACAAACCCAAATACGACAGAAGCAAACAAATAATGCAGTACGACAAGATTTCATAAATGGTGTCCTGTCTGATTTTTTACTTCATCAAATTTGAGCCATTGAGAATACAAAATAAACTGTGTTTTTTAATACCATGGCACGAACCCAGGATTCGCTGACCACTTGTAGACATGCAGATGGCTTCCATCCCTCAGTCAGACAGGCATTCCTGATGGTGACCATAAGTCTGCTGAAAGCAGCCGACACGCTGTAAGGTGCTGCACTATTCATTCACCAAAAGTTCAATGAAGTGAGCGATGTAGTCTGTTCCGCGTGTTGTCATCTAATAACGTTGTGTAGGTCGAAGCGATCGATACGAACTAACTCCAACCTAAGCAAAATATCATAACTACAACCACTTCTGGACAGGTAGAACCTTTTTACCAGGCGATTGGTTCAAATACGTGAAAAAAACATCGTGTTAGAACGGTGCGAACGGACGCTACAATTTTATCGAAGCTGGTGCATATTGACTTCGATTCGTATCAGCGAGCGCGTACCTGCACACAAATTCAATCGGTATGATACATAGTGAGACATAAATTTAGAATTATGCGGCATTTCCACCTCAAATGTGGATGCAGATATGCGTGCACCAATTTGCGGACACTCCGGATAGACGCCATGACCTGGAGGGCCATTGAGCCAGACTTCGAAGAACATTGTAAAGTGCGGGAAACAAACTATTTCTATTGTCGCTTAGGCAATCAGATTCCACGCTTCGGTCTTCTGTGAGGACTGTCTCCCGTCTTCACAAGCTGTATTCGACTATACACTGAGTCACGAAAGCACATGCTAATCTGGCGAGGATGAAAGTGAAATCGGAAGAGCTGTTCGGTGCCGGTTTACATTGCCTCATCCCAGGATACGCAGAGAGATAGACATATAGACTGACGAAATGAAAGGCTGGAGTCTTAAAAAGTCTGCTCAAGTTTTACCCTACATGTTCGGAAGGAAATCGGGCACTAAGATATATGAAATACGTCTATAGCTCTTGCGTTCCTCATTGGCGCAGGAGCGTATCCCGGTGTACCTGGTGCTTCTGCTGGTGGGCGGCTACGTCTGTTTCGGCGCCACGCTCTTCTCGGTGTGGGAGGAGTGGAGTTTCCTGGACGGCGCCTACTTCAGCTTCATCACGCTCAGCACCATCGGGTTCGGCGACATCGTTCCTGGTTCGCACCTGCTCGAACAGGGTGCCACCTCGGGCAGCGGACAGGCGAAGCTCATCATCTGCTGCTTCTACCTCGTCTTCGGCCTCGCCATCATTGCCATGTCCTTCACGCTGGTCCAGGAGGAAGTGGTGCTCAAATGCAAGGACCTCGTGCGCACGCTCAAGGCGCTCGTCTCTTCGGAGGAATCCGCCACGACGCCCGCCGCGACTTCCTAGCCCGCAGGGCGAGGGCACCGAGATATTGAGGTACGCGTACCGGATTGTGAAATGCTTCGATGTAACCATGGCGATATAGAGGGATTCCAGTCACACTGCTAGAATAGGCAGGAGGAGGGCTCGAACTCTTTGTGCGGAACACTAATGTGATGTTAAACAGTTTCGCCAGAAAACAGCAGCTTGCAACATGCAGAGATGCACTGCAAGGTTTGAGGGAATTTATCTACACAGGAATGACCGGATATTGCAGAACAATTAGACTCAATTAACTGGAAGAAGTCACGCGATTTCTTAGTCATTTGTCTAGGACGAATGTATAAGGGAAAAATCCATCTGCTTTTCTTGGTCGACGGTAGTGATTCTCCGTCCGCCCCTCGCCCTCATGTTTTCTGTTTCCAACGTCGTTTAGCACTGCCTTGTGGATAGCAGGCACTTAGAGCTTTCTGCATATCAGGCGGTTTTGCAGTGGCTCCAAGATGGGTCCTCCATTGCAATCGTGTCATGCGATGGCGTCACGGTGACGTCATAAATTTGACAGACCTCTGACTTCATGATGTCATTGAATGGTGTTATCGCGTGATGATTATCGTTTTGATGGTGTTGCTGCTGACACCACCGCTGCCGCGAATGGCCACTTTTCGCATTTGATGAGGCATCTAAGACTCGCTTGAAAAGAATGGTGGTGGGGCATACTTGACAGTTGAGCATTCTGAGATCATGAAAATATGACAGTTGATATGTATGCGCCAGGAGCAATGTGTGTAACAGCTACAGCTTGCCTGCACTTACCCACATGGCGAAAAGCTCGAGGCTAGAACGGTGGTTCTACTTAAATTGAGGACGAAGCGGCGAGCCTTGGAGGCAAAATTTTAGGCGCAACGTTTAAGGAACCGACAACTGCTCAGAACATCAAATGAGATGACTCCACTGATGAAAAAATTGTCCACCGCATTGACTCTGTTAAAAATATTCACGTTTTCCCCGAACCATCACGGGGTCACTGAGTGACACTTGCTTTCCCAGGGTTGCCAACCATAGACCAAAGTTGCGAACTGCACGATATACCTGAAGGCTACATTCCTGGAGAGATTCGAATTGGAGTTGTCTTGATTGCAATGTCGCCAAAACAGACGACGAAAGATAACACGTCAAACATCCTTGCGCTAGGTTTGTTGGTTTTTTTTTTCATTCTCAGGGGTGCTATTTCCCCCTCTTTGTCGTCTCCCATCTGTTCATTCAGTAGAGGAACTTTTAAAATTTCAGATGGTGGTCAGCTTCAGTTACTAAGGCGAAACCTTTGGACGTTTCATCATACACGAAAAGTGATGGTCGGCGGCTTCACGGTGAATGTTTCAGAAAATGATCATTGCGGAGGCGTGAACACGAAGGCTCCCAAATGATCATGATGCAATGACGTAGCCTCATGATGTCACTGCGGCACGACACATCGCCAGAATTCTTGATGCTGAAGTCAATGTGATTTCACAGTGGCATCGCATTGTATCGTCCAATGATGACATCATCTGGTGTCATCACCGCACGTTCATTGGTGATCGCGGAAGCACGTCTGGTCGTCGTAGAGTGTACGTTATCCCTACGTTATCATTACTACACGGCGCTATTTCTGAGTGTAGGGTAAAACGTAGGGCAATAAGAACAGTTGCGTAGGGTAAAATAGGGCAGTTTTGGCCTTGACGTAGGGTATTTTCCGAAAATTGGTTGGTAACACTATTTGAGACCCCTGAACTATAGGAAAAAGAAGTCTTAGTAGCCTTGGCGTCGGAAAACTGTTGATGGGAGAATGTCCGAGCCAGTCATTCAATGCGTCCACGGCTGCATTATCGGAGTTTCGTTACAAGCATATGTACGCCCAGCATCTGGTCCATTCATAAAATGCTTATAATAATTTTTGTACATTGGTAACCGACCTATCAAAGTGTACCATTAGATCATGACACTGCGCTTTTTTATATTGGCTCTTAAGATGACATGATATAGGAAGAGCTTGCAGTAATATACACTCTTTTGTGAGTGGAGGAAAGGCGAAATGTCGAGGGAGAACAAAAATCACCGTCTTCGGGTTACTCACCTTATAATTTTGCTTTTTGTGGATAAGCACGTGTTTCCCATAAAGGATGTTTCACTTCACTTGCCTCCACGCTTGACAAACGGCACACATAGTTGAACAGGAAACTAACAAAGTGCTCTTTTATTTGCTCCCGCGAAGGCAGGATAGTTACGTAAAACAAAACAAGCAAATAACAGTGAATGCAATAACAAACACTTTATACACAATTGGCAAAAAAATATTGTTGGACGGGTGTACAAACTGACTGCAGCGTCCGAGCTTTCAAACGAGCAACCCTTGTGACTCATTCTGCACCACTGCCACAGCAATCTTTCATTGAAGTTCACTAATACTGTCCAGGTGCAAGACAACATTGTGCCACAACTCTACTTCAGGGTCCGAACTAAAATATAAGCGGTTAATGCACACAGATATTAATTTTTCAAGGTGTTAGTGCTCAAGTCCACATTCATACATGCGTATGCAACTATACTGTTTCAAAGATATGCGATAGGGACGTCGAACACCAATGCATCCTGATTTCTAATGTACATCCATGCTCCGGGCCTCATATTAAACCTTTCTGTCATGTTATCGACGCCAGAGGTTTCAGGAAAACTCTAATTGCTCTTTCTATTCAGCATCTACAACGATTCTCATTTGGGATATGGCGAAAAAAAGTTGTAAAGTTACTTCAAGCTCAGGGTGGATGTGCAAACATCAATAATAGGCTGATTGTGCTTACGGTTCGCTTAGTGACTGGCAGGGGACAGTTCACCGAGCAGCTGACTGAGCGTGAAGGGAAGCAAGCGACGTGCGGTTGTGCAAGCTTAAGAGTAGTTTTGTGTTGTTGACCCCTATGTCATTTCCATGACTTAACATGTCTCGTGTTCCAGTGAACGTAGCAACAGTAAATAATTTAACCGTTCAGTTTTCTCGCTGGACAGCAAAAAGAGACGAAGGGGTAAGAGTGTAGCCCAGTGTCATGTTATTGTCGCGGGGCTGGTGTGTTCACCATCGTTAGTTGATTGTACGCGTCTAAGTGGTGGCAGCGCTTGCTTTTGTGCACGTTGGAGTCATTGTGAATTCGGTTGCCTTCTGCGTTGATGAACGGTCAGCTCCGCTGTTATGAAGCTAGCTTGACGGGGAAGGGAGAGTGGGCGTGTGACGTCACGCCTCGTCCTGTCCCTCGATGATGGTAGGCGGTACCACTCGAACGGTGTAAGTGAGCTTCTTGCTGCGGTAGGCGCTGAACGAGTTGTCAAACTTCAGCACAACTGCAAAAGGCAACACCAGAATGGATGACATCAAGGAGACACGAACTGATTCGCCTGCGGGCTTTCAACAAAGCAATTTCATTCGAAAAAGCGTGCATGGCTATGAAGTTTCCGGTTTCTATGATAACTGAAAGATAATTCAAAACCTTGCGGTCTTGAATTGAACTGAAGTTCAGGATTCGAAGGAGTCTAGTTTGGTCAGGGAAAGGTCGAATGAATAGGCAAAATAAAGCTCCCTTATGGGAGCCAGAATTTCATTTTGGCTAACCGTTTCCTTTGTTCCTAGTTGCTTTTGACGCTTCATGGATAACCCTAAAGAGGAAATCGTGTCACACTTATTCAATAACGTCTATTACCGTATTAGCGAGCGTAGCGGCTTCTTTGCCGGGCATGTTGTGTACGTGAAGTGAGCTTGTGACTCGAGCAAGAGGCTCGAGTCACAAGCCTGTATTTGCACAAAAAAAAAGAAAGAAACACAAGCCTTTCACCTGTCATTGCACACAAGAAAAGAAATAACGGACTGCGACACTTCTCAAAACGACGTCAAGCAATGTGAGGCTTGCTCTTTTCAGCAGGAAACCAAATGGAGAGGCGCATGTTGCAGTCTGAATATAAGATAAAGCCAACATAACGTTTCCTTGCAGGTTTCCATTTGATTGGGTACGTTAGAATCGTCAAACAGCGAGTTCTGTTGTGCACATTTATCTATTTTTGCATTTACACTCGTTAGTGTGTTCAGCGCTTCACAGGTGGCGTTACATTCTTTTGAGAAAATAAGAACCGTTTCAGAAGAGAGATACGATAGGCAGGGGGGTTTTAGAAGAGAAGGAACAAAGCAACCGAAAAGTAACAAAGAAGAAAAACACAAGACAAGCTCTGTCTCTAATCTGTCTGTGCTCAATTCACTCTGTTTCCTTCTGAAATTAGGTTAGGTTAGGTTGGATTGGATTTGGTTCAGATTGATTAGGTTGAGTTTAGGGTAGGTTAGGATAGTACATCTGCACCTCTTACTGAAATCAGGAAGATGGCGGATTCGACAATGTGATGCAGAGAGAGAGAGAGAGAGAGAACACAAGGAGAAAGGCAGGGAGGTTAACCAGGGCTGAGCCCCGGTAGGCTACCATGCACTGGGGAAGGGGAGAGGGGAAGGAAAGACAACTTGGCCTTATCTGCATTGGATTGATTTGCGGTTATTACAGCCTTTCTCTCGCCCCATCTCCTTCCCCCTTTGCATTCTGAATACGCACAGGTTCCGGGCTCCTCGCAGAGGATGCTGCCCTCGCGCGGCTTGAGGTGCGAGTCCTCGCGCTGCCAGGACAGCACGGTCACGTCCTCGGCGGCCGGGTCGTCCTGGGCGCGCACCACGGCGAAGCCGATGTCGTGGTCCTCGGTCTCGTACTCCCAGCACAGGCGAGAGCCGGCCATCGTCACCGTCACCGGCACCTCGTGGCAGCTGCGCCGGTCCACGGACACTGTGGCCGCCGCCGAGCCGCCCTGGTCGCCGTTCACGATCACGCTGCTGCGGCGCCGATAGTCGGCCTCCGTGATCGGCCGCGCGACGGTGATCTGCAACGTGCACGAGTAATGATTGAAGATGAAAGCGGCGAAGGACGATTTTGTTGTTTCCTTTATTTAACTCTTTTCATCTTGCCGTGAATGCGGTGTCAAAGCTCGTAGCTTTACCGATACTTCTCAAAGGGGAGACTAAAAGATTCGCGTATCAGTAAATAACCATTTTACTATATCGAGATCAACGCGCCTACCGCGAGAAGAAGCTCGTTCAGTGCCAAAACACACAAAAACGAAATGCGGGCGGCGATGGTGACCTTGATGTTGCTTTACAAGTAGCCACGACGTCAAATATTCTGACGGCGTCTGCTGAGGCGCGCGTAGTTCTTAATCAGTGAAAATTATGCACATTGCCTTCTAATAGAGTCAGATACTTAACGTACCATGTTTCAGAAAATTTCGTTGAGTCAATGTAACTTAAATGCGAACAAACGTTTTTATATCCGTCACGTCACCATTGGAGACTTCAGTGAGAAGATTATTAGTGAATAATGGCTACTATTTTAAGAATATGTCAGTGAATCAGTACCAGCCCGTCCAACTTTCAGTACTGAAGCTTTCTAAATTGATTTTCTCAACGGAGCGACAAGGGAAATACTGAAGAACGGTGGGACGCAGCTTTGCGCAGTCCTACATTAAATAGTCAATTATGGGCAGTCCAACGGGCCCACAATGTGGCTGAAAGGCTAGGTCTTTCGGTCAAACCGTGGGAGCAGCCCACTTCAGGCTTAAGTATTAGCACAACCTATTGGACCTTAATAAAGTTCTTTCATCCATCCATCCATCGGATAGCGAACAGGGGGTGAGAAAATTAGCGACACTAGATTTTTTGGAGTATAACTTATTTTAAACGAAATAACTGTTTAATTTTAGTGTCCCTTTAAGCTAGAAAGAGGGAAACAGATGAGAGAGAGGTCAACCAGACGGTTTTCTACCCTGTACCGAGGAAAAAGAAAGAGGGATAAAAAGAAGAGAGATGAAAGCAACAGTAGCGTGCTTCGTTTGAGAGTACATATCGACGCCGCAGCTTGTCGCTAAGGTCTGCACAAGGCGGTTGCTGATAATTAAGCTTCAATTCTTGGAATGCTGCTGCATATCGCACGTAGAAAACAACCAGGCTCTCCGAATATATACGTGAACACTTTCTGATGGACGCTGCGCATCGAACTCTTCGTCAAGCAGTGCACCAGTTCTTGAGGACATATACTGCTTAAGACTGAACTGAAAACTATACGGATCGTGTTTGTGCGTGTTTTGTGGGAGGTTGGGTGTATTTCTCGTGGATGGCAGTTGTATGGCGGTATTTCACATCGGCGATTGCTGTCACGCAGATCTCCGTGAGACGCTCAGCCCTTAGGAACGGGGATAGGTGTTCTACGCTCGTAGATTGCCCATGACTTTGACCAGTGCTTTGTTCTGTTCGCCTTTTGTCCGGAACTCCGCAAAGCTGCGGTGCACCGCAAATGCGCGGATGTTTACAGCGCGGTGAAGGTGTTAAGATGGTTGTGGTACTGCAGGTATTACAGAGGTTACGCATAAATTATCGTCAGTCTTGGGGAGTGCAGGAAGTTTTGACCAAATCTCGGGCCCGACAACATCTAGCAGTAACGATACTCAGGAACTCTTAGCACCGGCTGAAAGTGGAGCTACAAGTGAGTTATTAATCGATTAAGACATGAGAAATCAACCAAAGCGGCTTTCGCAAACCTCGATGTATTTTGTATATACCCGTATATGATTATTGTCCGAGTTTTGTAGGCGAGGCTGGATGAGCGCGCTATATTGATATGATCATATAATATTTGCCGAAACATCCCGACTGCACGTGTGTGCCGCTTAACTGGAAAGTGAAAAACAGCCCGATACTGCTGATATGCTCGCCAATGTATTCCAAGTATTGGTATATATTGACAAAAGCGAGCATCGGTGCGCTATTATTCCTGCCTTTGCGTCCAATAAGGCCCCACGCGCTTGACTTCATCTCTAAACTGATTGTAGCCAGGCACAACTTTAGAAGCCAGCGGCATTTTGTGAATTACATGTGCCCACAAGTGTGAACCAATGAATGCGCCCGTTCATACTGACGTCATTAGCCTGATGACCGGTGACGCCACCTTCTGTGAACATAACCATGAGCATAAACGGGACAGTTCTTTTAGTCGCAGAGTCAATCGGCTCCGAGAGAAGTCCGGCGCACTTCCATCGAACGAGCTTCTCCCGTTCTATACTTTTAGTTGGTTGTTTTCAGGGGGGCCCATATAAAGCGCTTCTATCACCTGGGCGGGGCCTCCCCTGACTTCTTAGGTTGCATAGCCTTATAAAAATCAAATAACTTACAGGTACTCTTCGTAAGAATCCCAATTTCGCGGTTATTGTTTCACGTCCCAAGGTAAGGCAATTGCGAAGAGTAAAATGATTCACTGCGCGTGTACGTACATTAACCTGCGTGCCACACTCAGTCGTCACTGTCTAACGCTTTATCGCAAGTACAACACATAAGTACACATAAGCTGATGTAACATGAACCTCAACCTTTCCACAGCAAAACAGTTAGAGCAGAACAGAACAGTGTTGTCACTGAAGGCAAATCTTAGTGGTATACGGTGAACATCCCGCATGATGCACTATTGCTACTGCTTCTGTTCGGTCTAGTTGTAGCTTAAATCCATGATGTATAGTGAGAAAATGTCCATATATACATGTATATCTTCGGCATTGACGTTCCGCTTGCAAATGACAGCCGCATTTAGGCGTTCAAATGTGTTTTCTGACACTGTCAGTGTATACGTAGCGCAAGACCTTACGCAGTGTACATTCATGGGCGAGAGAAGGGATGGGAGGGTTGAGGTGCAAAGCCAGCGATATCAGCGTACCTTCCGGCGGTTTTAGCGTGCGCGTACCTATACAGCTATTATCGCGAATGTTCACTCACTCACTCGGTTGTTTCGCGTTGCTCAGGTTTGAACCTAAATGGGGACAAGCGAATGCATATTCAAGATAGAAAACGAACTTGTCAAAACGGCCTCGGGTGTAATGCGTCAATTTCAGAGTGTCTGTACAGTGTCTCATTTAGACCAACTCTCAGCTATCCTACGCTTACAGGCAACAGTACCAACCTATGTGCATGTATTGCCCTGGACTTCCGAAAGGGCTGCGGAATGAACGAATACATCTTTTAGCTAAAAAAAGTAGTGAGCGTACAATGACGTTTTATAGACTACGCATAAAAAAGCCTGTGTACTTTTGATAGCATGTTTCCATAAGATTGAGGAGCACCTTCGTGAATATTCAGTGCGCAGGAAATAACTTTAGAAGACCTCCGGCCACGAGTGATTCTTTTTGGATGAATTATTTCTGGCTACATCCTATTCAAGCAAGTGTGACACTCAAGACTGTTGTGGACGGCAGAGTACTCTTCAGGCTACTAGATTCTCACAGATTGAACGGTAGTCCTAACGACCATAATTCATGAAGCTGCCTTCGTATAACTGACGATTCATTTTTTCGGGGGAATCGTTCCGTGTTCGACGTTACTGTTGATGCTTCCCTGTTACTAAATGAACAAGCATGTTGCTACAAAACGATTTTGAGGCTGTCGTCTTTACACTAGAGCATTTATCAGATTTACTTCTCTTGAATAAAGCGAGCAGAGCGAATTCCTAGCTATAGAAGACTGTTGCTTAGTGTGCGCAATCTCTGCGAATGTAGGCGATTTAGTCGAAAATACTAGACTCCACGTTGTGATTCTCTGAGCTGCTGTGTGTTCTAAAAAAAAGCATTCGTGGATGAAAATATTGTTTTATTTCACGAATCGATTTGCATAGAACTTCATCACTTGTCGGTATGTGCCGCTTGAAAATTTTTTTCACGGGCATGGGGTTTTCTCGTAGCAAGAATAGAATAAAGTAAAGTGAGTAGGTTTTGAAACAGTATAAAGCCCGATACCACCTTCTTTGCTCTATTTATCTGTAGGCGGTCGACAATACAGTGGTAGAAGATATCAAGGCTTGCTACTGTGCCCACACATGTGAGCTTCATTTCAGGCAAAAATCGCGCACATATCTACGCCCATTATATACGGTTAGGGGTTATAGGTCACTATATAATTATTAAGTTTGTTACCCAACTGTTCTATAACATTTACCCTTATTGCACCCGGTCTTTCAGGTACCGACAAGTACCGTTGTTGCTGTTGCTGAACGTGCTGTTACTCACCAGACCGCCAGCTGTGGTACCACACTGCTGTAGACTAGAACCCTATGATATGAAAGTTGGCAGTAGCAATAGCTGCCTAGATAGAGCTACGGTTGCCAATTACAAAGCTCATGGCTGTGAAATACCATATAGGCGTCATTTTCTCCTCGCAACTATAACGTGGAGTTTGGGCGCCTGTTTTTGTCATGCTCTGAAGCGCGCATGCTTGATGTCAGAATCACCACGCATCCGTCCGGCTTTTATTCAAGGGTGATTATCTTTCGTAACGAGCGATGATGCTTCTGATCCGCGTCGTAACACGCAATATTGTTGGTGTGTTTACTTATATTTTGTAACTCTTAATCAGGGCGACGCGAACGCCGAGGTAAGGTAAAATGATCGAGCGGTGCAGTGATAAATCATCAGCCAAAACTTATCGCTCTCTACATACGCAGCCTACTATATATAAAAAGATATATAGGGAGTGGTGACGAATAGGTAAACACCAACATACGCAGAGTCAAGCCATGCGAGCACAATATTCTACTCGCAATGTCAGGACGTGTGCTGATGAACTCCTGGTTTAAAGACACGGTAACGAAATAATTCGGTATCCTTCTTCCACTTTTATTTCCTGAGAACTGACAACAATGGCGAAAAGCAAATTATTGGGAACTCCGAAGGCGATGGTAAGTTAGCGCTTTAGCTTGCTGCTTACGTTGCTGCATTTCTCAAGAGGAAGAGGATGCTCGTCCTCCTTACCACTCTCCTTCCTCTTACCATGCACATGCGCGTTCCTTCTC